GCTGCTGTCTTTGTGTCTGCTGCTGCATGCTGCTGTATTTGTTTGTCTTTAAGAATAGTAACGAAATCTGCTGCCTTGCCTCCTTCGGTTGTATGTGTTCTGCTGCTGCTGCTGCTGCTGCTGCTGCTGCTGCTGCTGCTGCTGCTGACGTGGCAGTTTGCTGCTGTTGCTGCTGTTGCGAGGCCCATAGCCGCCAGCAAGTGAAACACCTGCTGCTGATGCTGCTGCTGCTGCTGCTGCTGCTGCTACTGCTGCTGCTGCCGGCGACCTCTTAGGCTGACCCCCCCACCGCGGAGCACCAAAAGCAGCCTGAGAAAAAAAACACAACCTGCTGCTGCTGCTGTTACTGTTATTGCTGCTGCTGCAGTTCTTGCTGCTGCTGCTGCTGCTGTTCTTGTTGCTCCTGCTGCTGTTACTTCTATTGTCTGCTGCTGCTGCTGCTGCTGCAGCAGAGCCCTAGTACAGTAGGACACACTGCAGCAGCAGCAGCAGCAGCAGCAGCAGCAGCAGCACCAGCGCCAGGAGCAGCAGCAGCAGCAGCAGCAGCAACAGCAGCAGCAGCAGTAGCAGCAGCAGCACTTGCTCACTGCAGCAGCAGTTTGTCTTTGTGTGGATTCATCTACTTCGTGTCTGTATATACACCGCGCCCCTAGGATGCAGAGGCCTGAGCAGCAGCAGCAGCAGCAGCAGCAGCAACAGCAGCAACAGCAACTGCAGCAGTAGCAGCAGCAGCAACCCCCCCGTAATGGCAGCAGCAGCAGCAACCCAGAGACAGCAGAAGAACAGCAGCAGCAGCAGCAGCAACAGCAGCACCAACAGCAACAGCGTCATCAACAACAGCAGCATCAGCAGCAGCAAGAACAACAGCAGCAACAGCAGCAGCAGCAGCAGCAGCAGCAGCAGCAGCAGCAGCAGCAGCAGCAGCAGCTTACCCTGTAGGAACTTAGCGCATACAGGATGGATGTTGGGGCTGTGCATCTTTCTACACGGGTCAGAAAAACACAAACCTAAAAAAAAATAAAAAAAAATAAAAAAATAAATATAAATAAATAAATATAAATAAATATAAATAAATAAATATAAGTAAATAAATATAAATAAATAAATATAAATAAATATAAATAAATAAATGTAAATATTAGTTTATAAATATAAATAAGTCAGCGGGAATATATTAATATAAATATAAATATAAAAAAAAATAAAAAAATAAATATAAAGGTATACATAAATATAAAAACAAACAAACAAATATACAAATAAATAAATAAATACATAAACAAACAAACAAACAAATAAAAATAAAAATAAAAAAATAAATAAATAAATAATAAATAAAAAGTTGGGGTGTATAGGCAGCTGCAAACGGCGCCTTCACTGGGGTCATGCAAATAGCCACAAAAAAAAAATATTACATTTATAAATAAAAAGAAATAAATAAATGAATAAAAAATAAATAAAAATAAATAAAAAGTAAATAAAAAATAAATAAAAAACAAATAAAAAATAAATAAAACAGTTGGGGTGTATAGGCAGCTCACCCTGTAGAAATAAGCGGCAAACGGCGTCTTCATTGGGGTCATGCAAATAGCCACAAAAAATATATTAAATTTATAAATAAAATAAATAAATAAATAAATAAAAAATAAATAAAAAATAAATAAAAAATAAATAAAAAATAAAAAAAAATAAATAAAAAAAGTTGGGGTGTATAGGCAGCTCACCCTGTAGAAATAAGCGGCAAACGGCGTCTTCATTGGGGTCATGCAAATAGCCACAACGATCACCCTTCACGCAGTTCCCTGCATGCAGCAGCAGCAACAGCAGCAGCAGCAACAGCAACAGCAGCAGCAGCAGCAGCAGCAGTAGTAGTAGTAGTGGTATTAGTAATCGTAGTAGCAGTGCAGCAGCAGCAGCAGCAGCAGCAGCAGCAGCAGCAGCAGTAGTAGCAGTAGTAATAGTAGCAGGAGCAGCAGTACAACAGCAGCAGCAGCAGCAGCAGCAACAACAAACAGCAGCAGCAGCAACAGCGAAAAACAGCAGCTGCATCAACAAAAACAAACAGCTGCATCAGCAGCACCAACAACAGCGAACAACAGCAGCAAAAACAAACAGCAGCAGCAGCACCAGCAACAACAACACCAGCAGCCGCAGCAGCAGCAGCAACAACGACAACAGCAGCAGCAGCAGCAGCAGCAGCAGCAGCAATTACCATTGCGAAAGAAAATACACTTGGGTCTGCTGTTTGCTGCTTTGTCTTTTTGCTGCTGCGGCTTTAAGAAACTCCAGCTGCCTCGCAGCTTCCTTGCTGCTGCTGCTGCTGCTGGTGCTGCTGCTGCTGCTGGTTCTGCTGCTGCTGCTGCTGGTTCTGTTGCTGCTGTTTCTGGGGTGGAGGCTGAGGGAGCAGCAGCAGCAGCAGCAGCAGCAGTCGGTGCTGCTGCTTCAGGGGTGTCGCGGGTAGAGCTACTGTTGCTGCTGTTGCTGCTGCTGTTGTTGCTGT